CCCCCCCCCCCCCATCACCTCCTCTGTGAAAAGTCTTCACAGATTACTTAAGAGGCAAAAACACTTGATAAAAACATTCATTGCTTGCAGGCCAAAATGTGCCTGCTGTGTGTTAAGTAGGCAGCAATTTTTTGTTTCTGGCCGCTTCTGAGAGTTCAAATTGCTCACATTGTTCTTCAAACACTGTCCCATACCCACCCACAAACAAGTTCATCAACAATAATTTTTTGTAAAATTCCAATTGCCCATTACTCTGACTCTAAAAAACACCATGGGGAGAGTAGTCAGTGGAGATATTTCTTTATCAATGAAGGGTGATTCATAATAATTATCTTACCAACATCTTTAAGCACTTGTTTAAATTCATCTTCCATAAAGCCATAGGCATTTGCAGGATTTTCAAGCAGTGTAAACAAGCTGCCACCTGAGCACAACTCCATGACGATGATCTCATTTTGCGATCTGAGCTGTTGAAGTTCAGTGTTGAAGTGGGATTTTGTGGTTGAATACAATGCAATGGATGATAATTCTCTACCAGTTAGCAGTGTGCATAGTTATACTTGGTAAAAAAAAGTTACAGATGCTGCCAATTTTAGTAAAACATAATGACCTTGTGATTTATAGTTCTGATGCAATACCACTGCCCTAAAATAGACTTGATTCTTTAAATAGAACTGTACTTGAACTACGTTAACAAATAAATTTAAGAATGCAAGTTCATGGAACATCATTTAACTTTGACTTCACACACGCTATCAAATCTCTTAGCCAACTGATTGTGCCCAAATAGAAGACTGTGTTTAAGTTAAAATAAAATGATAACATATTAACTTCATCTAAATTAGACAGATTGCTTTTGGTCACAGACCACTGCATGCTTTAGAATCTAAACATAACTAATAAAATTTGAACCAAGGACAAAACAGATTGAAGCAGATCAGACAGTGCGTTTAATTAAGGGTTCTAACAAAGGTTCCATTCAAAGCCTGTTATTGATGGTGATCTCTTGTTGCCATCGTGAAGATTTTATTTATAAGATTTGTAGAGCTTAAATCATGATCCTAGCAACTATATCTAACCCACTCCAGAGTTTCAATAACAGGTAGTTACTGGCTGTCTGTAAGACTTTCCACAGTGACCTGTTTAGCTTGCATGCTGGCTTTCATGATTGGGTTTCACCTTAGGACACAGCTGCCTAACAACACCATCAGAAGCCACTTATAGATACATTTAGTGAAAACTATGCCTACCAAGCCACTAAAGGACAAAAGTTATCATTATAGTAACCTCTAGTGAGCAATAAAGAGCTAAATAATAAAGCCAAGCCAATTTCTATTGATTGTAGAAATTCCTTTCATTAACAAGGTATTGAGTTTTAGTCTTTAAGGCCAGTGACCCATGGGGTCATTCAACTTCCGTAGATTCTTGAAAAGGAAATGCTTGAAAAATTCTACGTTAAACAGATCTTATGAAGTCAGACTTTTAAAAAAGCAACATCATAACTGCGACATCAGCATTTTCCCCAAAAATTCAAGACATGAGAGTCATTTTTCATCCAGGGAGTTGTTAAAATAAGATTTTTTAAAACAGTGCCATTGTCTGCCCGCATCGCTTCTATTACCTTCTCGGAAAACTACTGAACGTATCATTGGTTCTTGAGGATGTAAGGGGAATCCCCTAACGTAATGTTAACACTTTTGGATTAAAGGGCTTAACACGATACAGGCTTGTTGGAACCGATTTCAATCCTTTTAAGGATACAGTGGGGAAATCACCTTTACTTCAAAACATACCATTTAAATATTAACAATATATGCCAAAAGGAATGTAAAGCAACAAAATGATAACAATCTTGCATAAATTTAACGCTTATTTAGTCTTTTAAAGCGAAGTTGTCTGAATATTCAAAATGTATGTTGCTCGATGTAAGGAAGTTTTAATATTAATCATCGCAAATGTAGTCTTCCCGTACAGCTGCGATCAATTTTCAGCTTTCCTCCATTAAATGTGAATATAAAGAAATGTTGAGAAAGAAGAGTACATCTTCGCAGACGTCAAGTAAAATAATCCCAAACGCGAAGAGTTAAAACAATATATTCAACACCTTAAGCTATTCAACAAAAATATCGCAAAGCTGATGGTAATGAAGCGTTTCAGTTGTTAAAGAAAATAATATCGAATAATCAACATACCTCGGTTTCACTAGCATACAACTTTACTATATTCTCATGATTCAACTTGGTCAGCACCTCAAACTCTCTTCTCCTTATCTCTACTGGTCTCATCATCCCCAGATTATTAGAAACTTTCACTGCAAATGTTTCACCAGTTTTCTAATTGGAAAGAGAAAGTTCTAAGTGCACGATCTTTACTGAACCTTCAAACGCAATCGAGAGCTTTCAAGTAGGGAACTCGCCCACAGAAAGCTCATTCCTTACCTTGTGTCGGGCTTTGTAAACTGCCCCTGTCGCTCCTTCGCCCAAACGATCTTTTGTGTTCCAAGCGTAGTTCGTACTGCTTCGTATCTCCATATTACTCACTGCACCAAAAAAATAGCACGATTACGTATGCTTAAAGAGACGTTCGCATCCGCTCGTATAGATAGGCTTGATTGCCTTTAGAAATGATTCGTAGCCATAGCAATTATTTCCTACAACATCTGCTGTATTTTCATAGGTTCTTCTCAATTTTTAGTAGGTTTTCACACCAGTACGTTGCCAATATTCTAGGAAACAAAGCTTTAAAGGCTGTTATGGATATCTC